TAAAAGATGCTACAATGTAAAGTCAGAACTATCAAGAAGATACAACTATAATAAATATATAAATATAAACTGTATTAAAACCGGTTCCAATCTCTAATCTAGATGTTTAATGTTAAGATATTTCCACAAATTCAGTCTTATTAAATAAAGATACTGGCACGATCTGCCTAAGTAAAAAAAAAAAAAATTATCATTTATTCCAATTTTATGATTAAATCTATCGACTTTAAAGGATTAATTTATAAAATCTATTTGAATTAAATAAAATTTTTTAGCAATTATTTATCAGTAATATTATTGTTTATGGACTTTTAGAATAAGTTTTTTTTTCATATTACATTTTGATTTTCAACCTAAACTATGAAGCTTTTAAAATACAATAATTCTTCAATACGAATAAACAGATCTGCTTCTAAATATTTTGGAGAATTATATTGACAGCAACACATAACTATTTCACTAACTCTAATACCAGTTATGCTGGTTATGCTGGTTCGATAACGTTAATGCAATTGTCTTACTTACGTAATATATATAATAGTGATATATGTGGATATAATTTAACACAACATTACGATTTAACAGACCGATATTACTGATCCATTTTCAAATTTCCTTATTTGAAGAAATTTAACTAAATTTGAGATTATAATTGTTCTGGAGCCAGTATTGCTCACCTGATATCTTTTTTTACTTCACAAAAATTTGCGATTTGAATGACTAATTGATGTCGATCTTCCAAAATAGGTAGCGCCAATGGGTATAATTCTCCAGATTGATATTTATTGTTTTGTTTAGCGCAATTACTAGATAAATGTTCAGTCTCAACAATATGAAAATATAATGTATGTACGTACATCATACATGTAGATACTGACTAAAGATAGGAAAAATATACATTTTTTAGAAAATTGCGCATGAATGCGTATGCGCACTTTTTGCTGAACAAAATTCAATCTAATTTCAAATTGTCATACAATTATTTACATACTAATATGTTAGAAAGAATAATATATTTAGATTTTTAGACTTAATACATAATAAGAATTTGGCACAAAAGCTATTTCATAGTTCCAGCCCGCATTACGTTGGTCATGGGCTAAAATTATCTTAATGCCAGCTGAATTAATAGTTAACACAGTTAAATGGTTATAAAATTTTGATTAAACATCACGTAAATGTAATAGAATTATATGTATAGATGCATATTAGCATATATACATGAAAATATATTGACTCATCTATAGTATAGTCTGACCTCTCTATAGTCACACCCCATATAGTCACACCTCTATATAAGCACCCAATATTGTGTGATAAACTTAAAACATAGTATAAAAAGT